AGAAAAGTGGGGAGCACTCCAGCGTGTGCCAGCCTCTATCCTTCTCGACAGCTCCCCAGAGCTGGGGGAGCAGCCTCAGCGCTCCCAGACCGAGGGTTTGGCTCAGCTAAGAGAGCCGCACAGCTCTGCCAGGAACAGGCGTGCAACCGTCAAGACCTACAGCCTCGCTGTAAAGAGTTAAATAAGACAACTGGAGGTCAGGAGGGCACGCCAACACCCACACGCTGCTTGTGTCTGCTAAAAACACGAGCCTGCAGGGACTCGAGCCAGTCATGGACTAACTGGTTCAGCTATCGCCCGGCACGCAGCCAGGGGAGCGCAGTGCGGGTTTTTTCAGCCTGGCCTGAGCTCTGGGCTCCCCCTTCCCATTTCTCACGCGGTTTAAAGCTGGCTTGAGCCATCCGACATGCGCTTTCACACGGGGATGTGCTAGGAGGAGACCTGCAGCCTTTCCCCTGACTAGGGAGGGAGGAAAGTTGCTGAAGAGGGGGAAAGGAGGAAGGTTACCATGTTGTAGAAGTCCTCGCTTCCACTGGGCTGGAAGTTCAGGCGAGCAAAAGACAGGATGATACTGCACAGATGGGTGACCGACAGCTGCTTGGTGTTGTCCAGGGCATACTGGAAGATACAGGGAGCAAAACCAAAGGCTTAGGTCTGTCCCAAATGACTACAGACAGGAAAAGATTGAAAACATCGGCCAAGGACATGTCCAACCCCACAGCAAGATGGGAAACCAGGAGTGAAAAGGTCTTTTAATGCTTCCCTGGGATTTTATCCCGGCACAAGGGAGAGCTGCGAGCGGAAGCAGAGCTCTGTAACGTTCCCTCTCGCCCGGTACAGATACAAAAGCGCGGGCACGTAAACTGGGGCAGAGCTGAGAAGGCTCCTGGGGAAAGGAGCAGCGCTGGCGCTCGGGAGCAGAGGCTCAGACAGAGCTGAGACTGGCCCCAGCTCAGCACGGCTCCCCAGCGCTGACTTCAGTGGTGAGTCCCGTCAGACTCGATTACAGCCGCCGGCTGGGTAGGGAAAACCATGACGACATCCCAGAGAGCATCTCTGGAGAGGCCTGGAGGAAAAACTCCTCCCATCTCGTGGGAACTGGGGTGGATCACAGTCGTGCTGGTGCCCAAACCCCCTCCTCACCTGCGCAATGGCCTCAAACAGCGGCAGGCTGAGCCACTTGAGGAGGGCGAAGGACCTGATGCAGCGCGTCACCTCAACGGGCGTCACCGTGGAAACATGGGAGTGCAGGTCAGTGGCTATCTTCTGGAAGACCTGGGGCTGGTGGAAATTCAGTTTTCCTTAAAGGAGCAAAGAGAAAGCGGCAGCCACTTACAAGGAGCTGGTACGAGAGCCGTGCCTGGCCGGGCTGTGGCGGCACACGGGAAAGACTGAAGCTGTTCACTGGGACCAGAGGAAGCTCAGAGAGCGATATTGCCTCCCCTGGTTGCCTTGGCCTCATCCTTTTTTGGTCAGACCAAGTCTCTGCCACGTCCTGCTGCGCCCACCGGCTCTCAATCCCGGTCCCAACCCAGGGCTCCAGCCTCCGCCCAGTGCCGGGAGCAGGTTTTAGCCCCAGCGTCTCCAGCTACGGATCCTGACCTGGCCAGAAGAGCCCTGAACTCGTTAAGGCTACCAGGAACATCACACTAGCCCGAAGAAAAAGCGAGTGACGATCAGCAACCTGCAGCACCAAGCCCCGGAGGTGCTCGGGGTCAGCGCAGACCAGCCAGGAGGGGACAGTCCCCAGGTGAGGGGCACAGGCAGGGTCTGAGACCGGCTGCAGCAGAAACAGCAGGTACAAAGCACCCTGACACAGCTACAAGCATCGAAGAGAAACATCAGCGCAGCGTGACAACGTCCCGGCTAAGGGTGTCCCCACCGCAGCGGGTACGGCGCTGCTGGAGCCAAGTCTCGCTCCCAAACCACGTCCAGGAATCGTAATTGTCCGCTTTGTAGGTTTTAAGGCCGGGGGATTGCTGGATTACCCGATCCGATCTCTGCGCGTGAGCCAGGCCCGTATGTACCGCCCAGCTGCCCCACAAAGGCCACCCTGGCCCCAGAGGTTCTCAGAAGAGCTGCTCAGCCCTTCTGATACGTTTCACTCTTGAGGGCTGCGTTTCGCAAGCGAGGAAACAAAGGCCGTGGCTCCCCAAGAAATCCATGGCCACAGGAGGAGGATGGGGGGGGGGGGGGGATCCTGGCTGACTAAGTTGCCCACGGTGCAGGGCAGAGGGGCTCCCTGGCACCCCAACCACCCTTCCGAAGCGCTCTCTCATCACGCGTTCCCTTCTTCCCGTGCATTGGAAGGAAAACGGCATACCTGGGCTCGCTCGGCCTGTGCTCGGAGCTGGAAACAATCCGGCTGCGCCGGCCAGAACGCTACATCCAGCCTAACGTACCCCGCCAGCCTTTCAGCTTCATCTGGCCTCAACGCCATGGTAGCAACGCCATCAAATCCCCACTCGAGTGCTCAAAATTAGCTGGACTCTACCGCACGTAACACCCAACAGGTCCCAATCCAACCGAGCCGCTTACCATAGGCAAAAATCAGGTCCAGGAGGACGTTGAGGCTGAGCTCAGCGTGTTTCTGGATCAGATGGTAGGACAAGGCTCGGAGCAGGGGCACGCAGCGCCGGTTCTGGTAGGCTAGAGCCAGCGTTATTTTCCGGATGTCATCGGGGTTGAACAGTTCAGCAAGTTCCAGAGCCTGCCAAGAAACGTTTAGAGCAGGGATGTAAAGGGCAAGCACAAAGCGAGGTGCAGATACAGCCTTTGTACGGAGCGGGATGCGCCATCGCTACCGGCTGAGCCCCTCCCAGGGCGATGGGGACCAGAACCGGCAAGCGTTTAGGGCGCAGCGAGGCTGAGCGGCTGGGAGCGAGGGAGAGGGACAGCGGGGCTCAAACTGCGGCCGTTTGGCCAGTCCCCAGCCCAGGCTGGACGAGGATGGAATTTGATGCAGTCAGGGCTCCTGCAGCGGCTCAGACCCGAAGGACATTTCCCTGCTCCTGTGAGCGGCAGAAACAGGGACCCACTGAGCACTGGAGGAAGGTAACGGGCACCCAGAGGCAGCCAGAAGGCAAGGACAGCACGGACGCTGCCTGTTCCAGCTCCCCTCGCGAGCCTGGCTCGTACAGAGGAGCCAAGGACGATGTTTTTGGCAGCTGCGTTATGCTGGGTCTGCAGGTTGCCGCTTACCAGCTGAGCTAAGGGAATTCGAGCCTGCTCTCTGCTACCCTGCTGCAGCTGCAAAGGAAAACGCTTCAGCCCAGCTCACCCTGCACCACCGCAGACCAGCGCGAGTCACCCACGCGCACCAGTACGGACCGGAAGGGGCTGGTGAGTGCTCTGGAGCAGCGTGTGTGGAATTAGCGTTCCCATAGAGGAGGTGGCCTGGGAAGGGAGAGGGGGGAGGACCCGAGCCCTTACCTTGTCCTCCAGCCGGTCCATCAGAGCCGGGGAGACGTGCCCGACCTTGCCTGGGGAGACGTGCCCGACCTTGCCCATCAGCGCCACCACGGTTCGGGTGCCCTCGAGCTCCGTCCAACGCAGCTCCAACTTCTTGATGACTTCGTACAGCAGCTTGCTCTCCTTCCCCTGCTTGATTGCCAAGAACTCTGCCAGGGAGGCGAGCTGCCTGAAGGTGAGGCGCCGCAGCCGCCACAGCACCTCCTGCTCCACCGACTGCATCTCCCTCCTGTTGCCGTCCATCCCCAGGGAGTAGAGGCTCTTCAGGAGGTTCACCAAGGTGTTATTCCACACCTGAGAAATCTGGGCGGCAGAGAGAAATACAGGAAAGGTGTTGATGGGCGACAGCACCTAAATATTCGGTTGCCAGTCAGCCCAAACACCAGGCAATGTTCTGTCTCTACACAGAAAGACCTGCACAGCGTTGAGGGGGAGGCAAGAGAGTCCTCCCCAAGGCCCGAGGACATCCAGCTGTCCCCCACCACAACGCGAGACGCCCCGCTCCTCCTCCCAGGTGTATCTGACTCCGCAGGCTCCAGACCGGAGCAACCCAGCACCCTGATGAAGAGGAACCTCGACGCCCGTACCACAAACCGAAACAACGCACCCCATCGCAGCGGCACCCCTGAGCCTCGAGAGGGAACGGCGTGTCGATTAGCGGGGAACTCTCTCTGCCCCAGAGAAGGAGGTTCCACAGATTTGCCACCAGCTTCCTTGCGGTGTGGCTGGTAGAACAAAGTGCGGTGGGAAAGACCGATAATTCGGGAGCAGAAATTTGAGGGTCTCAAGGGGGAACACCACGGGACTCCGACTCGCCTCAGCACCTCAGGTCACATAAAACTTATCCTAAAAGCTCCGATTTCTCTCCAATGTCTCCGAAAGGAGGCTGGGAACGAATCCCACCGGCTGCTGGGAGCACCAGGACTCGCCCAGTCCCGCTTTCCCCACTGAGCTTCTCTGCCTGGCCACCGCCGGCTGCTTTCCCACCAGCAGCCCCGACGCAAGGCGGAGCTCATGGTTTTCGACCAGCGATTGCTCTTCCAGCTTCCGTCTCCTTCAGTGTCCGTCAGGGAACACCCGGCACCACTTTATTTCCAGCCCAAGCTTCCCCAGCTCTGCTCTGCTGCTGCTGTGCAATTCCAGTCTGAAAACACTCCTGATTTCTATAAAACCAAACCCGATCTTTAGCACAACCTCGGTTCTGACGGGCCCTTCGAAAAGCATCACGGCACCGGCCGCCCCGGTACAGAGCACAGCGCCTGCGTGACAACAGCCCAACGGTACAAAATGATTTTAGAAACCAGGAGCTGCTTCTCAAAGCGAGCGTGCAGGAGGCAAGTGAAGGAACGTCACGAGACATCGAATTTCAGGCAGGAGGGACCCTGCGGGTTTGGGCAAACAAAACCTTTAACTCTCTGGCCCGTCCAAACTCCAGCACTTCCACCGGCACGGCAAATTCCTAAAGTGCTGCTCAGGCACGGTTCTCCTAAAATCTGAAAAATCACAGCCCGGGGCGCGGCTGAGAAAGCGAGCAGAGCTCATGACTTGCCCTGGGTTACTCAGAAAGTCACAAGAAGAACCAGATCGCCCCCCTGGCTGGTCCCTCGCCTTTTTCACCCACTCGCGCGGACAAAACTCACCTCACAGCCTGTCAAGAGCCCTTTCCCTCACAGCTGCCCCGGCCCACGCCTCAGCTACTGTTCAAAAATCTCTGGCTCGTCAACACAAGGACATTGCAAACAATTCATTTCAGTTTCTTTCCATCAGAGCGTCTTTGCATCTACGCACCGACCTCTTCCATTCAGTTATCTGTGACTGCGGCTGCAATGACACCTCGTCGGAGAAGGGTAATTGTGTTTGCAGCGAGTTTGCTTGCTTTACATCTCAAAATCCCTAGCCACGTCCCTCTTGGCAGTTTCCTACACTTTGGTCGCACCGTCTCGCTTCTGATGTCGCACATGCAGCGCGACAGCTTGGCTTTACCAGCTCTGGGGTGTCCCTTCCCCACCGAGGGGTCCCCAGGGACACGGGCACCCCTTTGACCCGTGCTGACAGCGACACAGGACCACGTAGATCAGCAGGAGCGGTACTTTCACTCAGAATACAGCGTCACGGAAACATTTCAGCTCAACGGAGCTAACCAGGCAACCTCAGGACAAATCCCAACTCGCTGCTATCCTTAGACAGGTTTTAGGGAGCAGAGATTACGGATCAGGAGAAATATGAAGCGTCTGCGGAACGCTTGAGCCCTGCCAGGAACTTCATCAAGGTTAGATGGGATGGGAGGCAGCAATCCTTCCCTGGGAGGGTGCTGAGGCCCTGGCAGAGGTTGCCCCGAGAAGCTGGGGCTGCCCCTGGCTCCCTGGCAGTGGTCAAGGCCAGGTTGGATGGGGCTTTGGGCAACCTGGGCTAGTGGAGGGTGTCCCTGCCCGTGGCAGGGGGGAGGATTGATGATCTTCAAAGGTCCCTTCCCACCCAAACCATCCTGTGATCCCACAACGTGGAGCCCACGAGCTGCGGGTACTTCCATAGCAGTCAGCTGGCGCTGCCGAGGTTTGACCGTACGACGTACCGGGCACGGTGCGCTGGTTCTCTTCAGATGTCCCATCTCACCCAGGGGCTTCGCCACCGTCCGGCTGCCTGGCTCTGACGCGTCTTTGCCACTAACTGGCACAAGTGCAGCTTTATCTTACCGAGAAAGTTAAAAATTCACGGGGACAGGAGCAAGGCAGCGTTTAACGAGGACGATCTCTCTGCTACACTTTGTCTCTGGTCCAAAATGCAGCGCTTTTCGATAGAAATAATCGTGTATCCTGCCTAGAGCTGATAATTTCACCTCCTGGTCCTCTCAACTTCATTTTTCACTTGGAAAGGCAAAGGAAAATCCTGAACAAGCAGCTCACTCCAGCTGGCCGCGCCGGTTCAATCCCAGGAGCACCGGCCGCTTTCCACCTCGTACTCTTACCCCAAAACACTTCTGTGGCGAGGAGGGAACTTACCTGGGAATCCGTGATGCCGATGAGCTGTTGGAAACGTTCATCTCGCAGAATACTCTCCGTTTCCAGGTTTTTTTCCGCTGCGAGCCGGGAAAGTTGAGTAATTATCAGCGAGGCTTGATTGCTATTAAGAGCATGGAGTTCAGTCAACTGGAAGAGTTCCTGAGGACTCGCGGCTGTTTCAATCAGTTCCCCGATCACCCTGTGCTCTGGATTTCTGCTGTCCTCCACCTGCTCTTTGACGGAGAATCTATCCGCCCAGCTGGAAGGGCTCGAAGCGTGAAACGAAGCGAAAGGCGCTTGAGGCAGAGCTCTCGCCATCGCCACTTTCCCAACCGGCACCAGCAGAGAAGCCGGGACTGCCGAGGGAGCAGAGACGAAGGCACCGAAGTGCCGCCAGCAGCAGTGTCGCACCAAGCGGGCTGCCATGGTGGAAGGCGAGGGCGCGGAGGAAGGCTGGGGGCGGTAATCGGCTGGAGGTCAGCGCTGCATTTCGGGAACGCTACGAAAGGAAAAGAAATCCTTTAGGAATGGGAGGATTTTGGAGATAGAAAGGAGGAAGCAGCTGACTTCTGGTAAGGGTTGCGAGGAAAGGAAGTTTTCAACCAGCGATATTGGATGTGAAGAGGCAACAAAAGCTTTCTGACGACCGATCGGCAAAACGCAACCGTGGCGGAGGCCACAAATGTGTTTCCCT